ATTCGATGCAGTATAAAACGCTGACTTCGAATCTGTCCTCATTATCTGCTTCCCGCTTCTGTGGACGAAGCTACAAACGGTTTTAAAGTGAAAAAATCATACATAAAAATAGCGAAATTGAGCACATTGTTGCACTTTTAGCTCGGCTTCTGGTTCCAAATATTTTAAGTTAGCTAACTGCATGTTTTGGCCCAGCATTGAGGCGAACGAGGCTCTGTACGGCTAAATTTTCAGTTTCACGCATAATTTCTGAGCAAAATAATGGTCTTTAATGGTTTATAACTTCGTCCAGAAAAGCGATAAGCAGATAAAGGAGACAGATTTAGAGTCAGCGCTTCATGCTGCATCTAACGCTATGCAGCTTGTCTGGAATGGCCACTTCGATTTCTGACCATTCCCTTGTTAGTTATGATGATTTCAATGTTTTTTTGGTCACGAATGCTAATGAAGAGTCTTTCTGAACTCTGTGTCGAGCACAGCACCTTTGTAAGATGTGTGTAGTGTAAATTTTTGAAGGAGAACCAATTCTAGAAAAAGCCCAGGCGGAAGCTGATCGGGTCGCTGCTATATCGCGCCTCCCGCAGGAGACTGCAGTCTAGAGCGGGAGTCCTGCCGGTGACCGAATCGCGAGAAAACCGGGACTCCCGAAGGTCTCAGTAGAAGACATGTCGGGACAAAACCGGGAGTCGCGCCGCATTATCCCGAACGAAAACCGGGAGTCCCGGTTTTCGTTCGGGATAATGCGGCGACCATTTCCCGACCATTTTACTTGTGTCCCGCAGTCATTCCGGCGGGACACAACTTTTTCACCGGCGAGACTTAACTGCGAATGTCTGAGTCATGGCGAAGACGCAGAGTCGTTGCGGGACCTTATGCTTATAGCATTGCGGCTGGCGCTCTCACCGCGGAAGTCACTCGTGAGATGAGCGCTGCTTTCGCTTTGAAATTTCGGGGGTTAGAAGTGGCAGGGAAAGATCGAACTTTGGCCTATAGGTTCCATTATGGGACTCCTACCCTGTGACCTTATTTTGCCACGGGTCTCATTCTGCCGACCCACTGCCTTCAAATGGTACGCTAGGAGATTTACTGCAGATTTTTCTAGGATGAAAATTGAACATGTGATCTGATTTCGGTAGATGTTAACTATATCATTTAGTCAATATCTACTTAAGGTCACTTACAAGTTTGGTAATTTCTATAATTGCTGAAATAGAAAGGCAATCACTCCGACAAATTATGAACTCTGAGCAGTATCTGGGCAGTATAACGCGTGAGACTACCCAAATACCACTGCTGCAATGGCTGAAGGGACATTCACCTCTACGATGGCTTGGTGGTAGCTCAAAGCCAGGAAATAAGCCATTAGCAGTTTGGAGAACAAATATACGTGTTAATTATCTATTTGTAAGTGAACACGTATTTCTGGCTACCATCCAGTGGCTCTTTACGCTTTATTTATCCATATGCAGTTTATATTTTCGTCTATCATCGGAAATATAGGTGAAACATGATTTCTTGCCTTTTATTGCATCAAAAAAGTCGCAAGCTTCAAGTTTTTGCCTTTTTCCTACGTAAAAACAAAGAAGAACTCTCAATGCTCAATAAATCATTTCAAAGAGTAAGAGTTTCTTCGGACGGTATGTCATCTGATTATGACTTTACGGCATAGTAGCGCAAGACTACCAAATGTTCGAAAAATCCTGTCCGAGTTCTTCGAGGCGCCACGCGAAGGATTGTGAGGAGCGGTAAGTTGCTGGAATAATAAACAAAGTTAGCTTTTGTAAGTGGCGTTCGAGTTGCAGCCTGCTTGTTGTTGATCGGAACAAAAACAAAACATCAAACTGTCTCATAACTTTCCGTTCAGCCTAATATCTCGGCTAAAATTTGTTTGAAGTGTACCTCAAGCACGTTTATTATTTCTTTTACGTACTCATCATCTTTGGGTATGTGCTTTTCGTTCCTTGCTTAGCGACTTCTGGTCGAATATCCGCCTAATTATTGTTCATGTTTGCTTCAGCCGTATAGCATTGCTATTATGTCAATTATGACCACTTTTTCCCTTCTAGACTTCTTCAAAAAACCATCATCATCGCACATGGTCGAGAGATTGTGACTCAGGGAGTGCACTTATCCTTTGTCCATTCTACAACTGCTCCTTTATCTACTACTAGCTGCGGTCCCCGTCCCCGCCCGGGCTGAGGATCCAAGATGGCCCGGCATAGGGTCTGCTCCAGATCGTCTTATTGTTTACCATTTCTCCACTTCCTTCAATTCATATCTTCTCCTTTCCTCCTGCATCAGTTCCGAGTTAATTGCAGCGCTCCTGTGGTATCGTGGTGAATTTGTCTTCCTTCTTGATCGCCTCGCTTCTTGACCCCGTCCTCCTCAACGCAAAATGTAACTAATCTCCACTGTTCCTTACCTACTTGACCTGGATAAATGAATGATATGCTTTCATTTTCCTAAATTTTAGTAAACAAATCAATAAATCGATAGAAGGACCCAGCGAAAAGTCGCGAAAAGCAGCCTATCTTTTGCTCCCCCAAAATTTTTTCGGATGCGTGGCTGACGCCACGCACCTTCTTTAGAAAAAATTTTTTGCCGCGCCTCCCCTAGCCGAAATCCTGGGTACGCCACTGAGGCTTGATTTTTGACAAATTTTGAGATTTTTTGTTTCGATCAACAACAAGCAGGCTGCAACGTAAACGTCGCTTATATAAGCGACTTTCGCCTATTATTCTGGCAAAACGTCAACGCTCCTCTCCCACAACCCTACGCGTGGCGCCCTGAAGAACTCGAACAGGGTTTTTTTGAACCTCGCTCATTCTTGCGCTGCCATACCGCAAAGTTATAGAGCAGTCGATATATCATTCGAAAGTGCTGTTCATGCTCTTTCAAAAAGTATATGAAACATACAGAATTTCTTTCTATTTCTGGGTAAAAAAAGCGAAATACCTGGAAAATCGCGATTTTTTGGCGCAACAAAAACCAGTAAATCAAGTTTCATTCTGTATTCCGAAGATAGATAAAATGTGAGGTAAATTGCATATAGTTGGATAGAGCGTAAAAAGCTCTTTCAGATGGTGCCTATAGAACATGCGTTCACCTGCAAAGCATCAAATAGCACGTGTCTTTGTTCTCAAAGCTGCTAATGGCCATATCTCCTGAATTTGAAAGTTTACACCAGCAACCCATCGTGGGTCTGGTGACTGTACCTTCACGCATTGCAGCAGTAGTACTTTGGATGGTTTCGCATGTTTCACTGCGCAGATACTGCTCGAAGTTTATAATCTGCCAAAGTGACTAACTTTGCATTTCAGCCATTATAAAAACTATTAGTTATGTAAATGACCTTATATAGGTATTTTCTGAAAGAGAATAATCTATTTTAACATCTATCAAAATTGGGAAGTTTAATCATTTTTCTTTTTTGAAAAATCTACATTTATTCTCTAGGTGCCCCATTTTTTATTCATCACCCGCCAAACCTTCAGCGGGCGGCACTTCCTTTACAGTCGCATATTCTGCCAGCGGGCAGCAATACAGCATTTTTTGCAAGCGCTCGGCAAATAATTTCTTTCAGCGAGCGCTGGCCAAACTTTCAGCAAGCGCTCGGACTCTTTTTACGCATTATCGGGCGTACGTCGAGCGCAGGTAAGACTCTGTGTGGCAGAAGTGTCACCGTTGGTTTAATTACTTAAGTTTGAGGTACTTTCTCCCAGCGGAAAGTACCTGGGGGTTGCGCGGTCCTCCACAAAGGACCGTGCGGCCCCCGAAATTTTTGCATATTTTCGCGGAAATCCGCGAGAATGCGGCCACTGCGCCGCAGCTAATCCATAAAGAAACCCCGATTGTTCTTCAAGCATTCGTCTTTAATTTCGCCAATTTTCTTCCAAATTTCTGCAAGCAGGCGGCAAAAAATCAACGAACTATTTTTCCGGTGCGCGCTTGCTCAAAATTCGCATGGCCGCCTGCCCCCGGCGATTATCTGAGTGATGCCGCGAAGGGTGCAAAATCGTTCTCAAAGCCTTTAACTTACCCTCCCTAAGCTTCCAGTCTTCTACTCTTCTTCCCCTTCGGCAAGTTCTTCCTTTCTTCTGCCTTGCACCCTGCCCAGACCTATGCCTCCGTTCCTCTGGCTCCTGCGTTGACTTGTCCTTCATATTGGCTGCATCACTTTGCAACACCGCACTCTCCTCACCACGGAATGACAATGAGCTTCACCACCCGTGTATACATGAATATCGGAGAATGCTTAGTCAAAACATGATGAGCTTCCATTTTCATAGATTTGGGTAAACAGGCCAATAAATCGATAAAATGACAGAGCGAATTCCAATGAAAGGTAGCCTAAAACCGTCTCCGGGGTCGAAAACATCTGTGTGCAAACTTTCAGCCCAATCGGTTGAGCGGCGCGCGTCTCTATAACACACATACCCTCCAAACAGACATTCTTGAGTTTTATATAAACAGAGATATAGATGTTCAATCCACTCATTCCTATGGTATAACCAATCTCTGATTAGTGACTGCCATTGAACGCGAACGGCACGCGGTAGTATAAAGGTACCTTGAAGACAAAAAAATTGCTAGTTTTATGCTGCGTATGGGCAGATGGAGAAACTGTTTGATCTAATTGATGGTGCCTCTTATCATAGGAGGCCCAGTAACATAATCAAGGATGGGTGCCATAATGAATAAAGTGTGCTAGGCACTGATTATTATACCTTATACCTCTATTGATTTTGACCACATCCTTTGTACCGTGGCGGCTATAAATACACCGGTCTTACTTCTTTCTGTTATTAATTTGAGTTTGATAAACTACATATTACTTCACTTTCTTAGTCCCACATCTCAACACAACGTCTCACGGTTTTGCAGCCCCATCCATTGCGTTACGCTATACGTATTTGATCGAACGGTTACTTCTAAAATTTAATCAACGGGTTTTTGTAAACAACGAGAAATAAGCTGCATGATTTATACAAAAAAGAAGCGTCACTTTTTGAGAAGTTGTTGTTGGAGAACATGCATGTATGGAAGAATGACAAGGAAATGGTGGGAAGTTTTGAAAGTCTAACGGGATAACATGGGGCTAAATCTTCACAAATCACGAACGAGTTACGCTAAGCTTGAACGACTTTCTAATGCAGTGTCTGTAGCGTCTGGAAGCTGAAGCAGTTCGTCTACCAAAGCGGTTGGCTTGAGAGAATGTGCGCTTTGCGTGCTTTTGCTTGATTAGCACGATTAGCCATTGCGCCTTCTGGAGTTTGATCGGCTTCTACGGCCGCATTCATTGCGTGACCCTAGAAAAACTCATTTTTAGTTGTTCGAAGCGAAAAATTAGTCAAGTAGTCGATAAGGCAAAGTGTAGTAGTAGATACCCTATATGCCCGCACCTTTGAGGCATGTCCACTGATGGCATGTTCTAGCCAGCGCGTTTCGGTTGCTCCGCTGCCGATTTTTCGAGGTGTTTGAGGTCGACTCCAACCTTCTGGAGGGCTCTCCACTAAAATTATACGAAAAGTAATGACATAGAGTTCAACTAAGGTCTCATAATTCTAGCTACAACATAAATATTTCTGTGTGAAAAACGCGGATAGGGTATTTTTGGCTTCAGCAGAGTCTCCGTTCATTAGAGCTTTTTTTCGTTGATTTTAATAGATTCTAATAATTTGTATTTTGCGTTCGTTAAAGTGGAGCCATTGTTGATCGCTCTGCTTTCGTTACTTCAAAATACAAAACAAATCGACTGAGCTAATTCTGTCCGTAAGATTCTTAATATACAGGTGTGCGTAAATTATGTATACACTGTTTGATCGTTAATATCTCTTTCCCCAAGAAGTCTTTTGCCTTGCTTCAGGTACCATTTTGTAGAGCTGGCTTCAACTTAGATTTCAGTATGGAGCGATTCACTCTTCTCTCTTCATTACTGTAGGATTACGGTGGAAGCTCTAAAGAGGGTTTTGAGCCATGAAAGGCCATATTTTGCCTCAGAAAGGAAACAAAACAGCCTGAAAACTTTTACACTAGGCTAATTAGAGTTGCTGATTCTAATTGTAAGGTTCCCAAGTTATTATGATGCTTCATTGAAGATTTATGCCAGGTAAGAGGTAGCGGCCATTTTTTCAATGTTCCTAAAAAGTGCGGTTACACTGTTTAGAAATCTTGCGAATAGATGAGTATTGAACTCAGCGTCCATAAAAACCCTATTACACAAGTTTTGACGTTTTTTTTGAAAATTTTTGAAACGGCAGCTTTTTCCGCATTGACACCATATGTTTCAAGTTTCTAGCGTAATCCTACAGTAATGAAGAGAGATGGGTGATTCGTTCTATACTGCGAATCTAAGTTGAAGCCAGCTCTACAAAATGGTACCTGAAGCAAGGCAAAAGACTTCTTGGCAAAAAGATATCAACGATCAAACAGTGTATACATACTTTACGGACACCCTGTATTTGAAAATTCTTTTAGCCAATTAATCTCCTCTTTTGTATTTAACTTGTATACACTAAATATTGGAGCAAATCAATTAAACCCTTTACACATCAGATAAAGGAAGTAACTACCTTAGTCCTGAGATTATATTTGTTTTAACTAGTTTTGTGAAGTAGCCTTATGAAGCCGCTAGTCTCATGAAGAAACTTACCAGTGCCATTAGTGTTAACCGATTTGAAAAGCTGTTCAAATACGACAAAGTTTGTGTTCTGCCACACTGGCTTCGTTAAACCATATCGCTGCGACAGAAAGCCAAGAAGTGTCACCGATGGATTGTCCAGAGCTAGCTACAAACTTAACGTTGAAATTTGGGTTAGAGCTACTGGCATTCAAATTCTCAAAATGGAGAATGTGTGGGTGGATTTACCTGGTAAGGTTCAGCATGCTCATTTTGTAACATGTAGTCGATGATAGCTTTTCCATGTCCTTTTCGTTGTACAGCAAAATGCACATAGAAGTCAAGCAGACATAAGATCTGGAATAAAATTTGTCCACTCAACTATGTTAAAAGGGTAGTAATAACTGTAGTTTAAGTGCATTTTTAGGGACTAAACCCTGCCCATTCAATGAGGGATGAGTAATACCAAATTACGAAGTATTTGTTGATCTACAGCAATTTTTGCGACACTAACGAATGAGTATAAAAAACTTTATTCTGAATTCACAATAAATCTTTAATTTAAAAAATAATTTCTATCCAATCTGAGTGGATTTAATGATCTTTCGTCCATTACCTCTACAATAGCCTCTCAATAACAATTAGCCTCAGCAACGAGACAATTTTTAGGGGTCAAGAGCTGAACCGCAGAAAAATGAGAGATATTGGTAAACATCCAAATAAATGAAGTCAAGGTAACGAACTTATGAACATGCACCCATTATTATTATTATGATCCTTGTAGGAGTTCAACCTACATATAAGTCAAGTGGTTCTCAGACAGACATTCCTCAAGAGCCGTGGATATATAAGGAGCAGACAAATGAGGAAAATTTAGTTTTCAGAGAACAGCTACTGATTGCTGCTTTTTATGGCCTTCTATATTTATTGTAAACAATTTTTGGCAAGCCTTAAAACACTTGGAAAACTGAGGCTTACAATAAAATTGTTTTTTGAGCATTTTTAAAAACTAAAATAGGATGTGCTCTGATCGTTCTCACCCTTACCTCGAAATTTTTGAACATTTTTTCCAATTTAGTGACCTTTTCGTAATATAGCTGAATAGCATAAGACAGACATTTGACAGTAATCTACAATCTGTAATCTGTAATACAGCAATTTAATGTTCTCGCAAAATTAGATTTACTGTGCAAATTTTTCATTTAATACATTATTTCAGATTTTATAGCCCCTGAAAAAATCCTGCTTGTATGAGGGCCACTTTATTTCTGCTCAATACCCTTCTCGGCTATTGCTGTGCCCAGTATGAAACCCAAACATCCGGTTATGGCATGAATAATCCTTATGAGGTGCAGAGAGTAGCGAAGCAGTCACCACAGACGAGAACCATAGACTATACCTCTTACAAAGCTCCGCGATCCGAACGTAAATCTAATCCACAGAAATTTGAACAGGTAAGGCATTTGCTAGGTTTGTACGGAAAAATTTCTGTGTGAAGTTTCAGAGCAAGACCACCAAACAAGGGCAGATTAGCAGTTTGAACAGTAGTAAACTCAGAAATGATTCCGCCACCACCGCTCAACCAAACAATCAAGTGAGATTTTGTTATTTTTTACTGATGTCGGCTACCTCCTACCCTATTTTAGGGCTTCAACTCGCAGAGAAATGGTATCAGTGCTCTAGTATACAACACAGCTGAAGGGACCCTGATTGTTCCTGTTCTACCCTCATTTTTGTATGGGGGCGCTGCAAATGGGCTTGGCGGAAACTTTTTGGGATCTCCAATACAAGTGATTGGAAATGTAAGGAACCATCCTTTTATCTCCAAGGAATTTGAACTTTGAATTTCAGCCCCCTGGACAAGCACCGAACGGAGCAGGGGCAAATATAAATGCTAATCAGCAGGTATGTTGTGGAGTTTACTTTCCCATAAAAGTCATTAATCTTGCAGAAGAATGCTGAGACTAGAACCTCTTTCAATGTTGTGAATCCCCCTGGTGTCTTCGCTGGTGCTCCTATTTTTATTCCCGACTTGAATGGTTTATTTGGAGGCAACCTATTATTACCAAATTTACAGCAGGTGAAGACAATCTTCTTTTGATGACTGATTTTCATGTTTGAGAGAATTTAGGTCAACCAGCAAGGCCGCAGTGATCACACTCAACGCGAGATTCAGGTTATATATGCGATCAATAAATCAATACCAAAGCCATTTCGCTTTTTATGAAAATAGCAAAATATTTTTCAGCCACCCAGCTATCAAGCACCCAGACCCGATCCAACCTCCGAAGATAACCAGTCGAACTACGATAACCAGCAACCGACTCCGACTTACAGTACATCTGTCAATTACAGTACCCCACCCAGTACTGCAGTCACTTTTCCGACTCTTATGACTTCACCAACTCCTCCCGCTCCATACAATTCACCGGAGCCGATTAACCCTTACCGACGTCGTCGTCATTAGGCGGAGTTGAAAAGTTTGATCAAAAGTGAATACCTCGCTTCTCAAAGAATAAAGGATTTTTTTCAAATTCTGATACCAGATGAAATATGCAGATTCTAAATTTGAAAAAAAAATGAGCTACTTTAGCAGATTTAGCTCCAAGATTATGCAGCAACCGTAAACTTCCAAAGGCTCTCCTTATCCCGATGACGATCACTATCACAGAAAATTTTGAAAACTGAAGTATTATGTGTAATTTTGAATAGAATGAAAACTGAAGTATTATGTGTAATTTTGGATAGAAATTGATTCAAGTTGAAAATGATCAAAAATCCAAAAGGCTGAGAAACAAAAAACTTAAATACTCATGGTGTAGAAGTTTAATTACATCTAATCACACAATTTTGAAAATGATTGGTCAGTGACCCAAAAACTTTAATCGAATATTTGGGAAAATAAATTGCAATGTATTTGTTTCATTTTTGAATTTGTTTGAAATTTCCACTGTCGGATAACTGCTAATGATTTGAAAACTCGACCTTCAAAAGAGTTCCAAGGTAGTTAATCGAAATATCAAGAAGATTGTGTACCCAACAAATCCATCTGAAAAAACCTTCTGCTCCTCATTCTGACGTTCAATCTTCTAATTTCTCACTGCGAACTTAATTTTACTGTTTGCTTCCATACTTGGCAACCATTAACATCTTACAACCCTCATTAAGGCGAGCACCTCATAAATTCATCAACAAAATTCATCTTAATGTACAAAATCTTGTATATTCACGCGCAACAGTTGCTCAGACAGCAACTCATAGATATCTGCGAAAGAATTTCCAACAGAATGATAATAAATTCTCCAAAACAATCTGCTTGCCCGCAATTACGTTTTAGCAATCGTGACCCAGTTTAGCATCAAGTGGCATTGAAATCGAAATTACAACCAGCGTTCTATAAGCAGTCCGTATAAAACAGCGGCAGCAGTTTTACTGCGAGAGGATGCTTGAGTTTTTGGTAGATCGACCAGATTTGTTTTCTTTTCAGTAAGGGAAATCAGACTTTTAGAGTTTTACTTGTTTTTTCGGTGTCTGTCAACTGTTTCATTTACTGTTTCTTTATGACTATACAAAGGTCCTGAACACCATCATTTTTATCTTCCCACACTCAGTCAAACTTCTATCATGAATGAGATTTCTGCTACTAAAGACATCTAACATATCATCTTTCCAGTCACAAAGATGAGACTCCCACTCCTATTGAGTTTAGTGGCACTAAGTGTACAGGACTATGTACTCCCGCCTGGAGCTGTCAACTCGCCACCTGCCAACGTATCTCCAGCCAGTTCGGGAAGCATGGGATTCGGTGGAGGCGGTGGACCCGGGGCAGCCGGCGGAGCCAGTGGAGCAGGAGGTGGTGGTAGAGCAGGTAGAGTCAATGGGGCAGGTGGCGGTGGCGGCGGTGGAGGTGGTGGCAGAGGGGGTAATGGAGGAGGGAATATGGTAAGTCATTGATAAGCTTTGCATCATAAAAGGCGAGATTAAGAATGAGATCTAGAGAGTGGCTTTCGATCTTCGCAGGCCGTACTATTTTCCCGTGGGTGCTGTTTTCCCAGGAGATAAAGGAATGAACGTGATGGGAGCGGAACTAACAGGACGGGTAGGGCTTTGAAAGCGTATTTCTCCGTTTAATTGTCGCAGCATGCTCAAATAGCTCATTATTCCTTTCCAAGGACAGTTCTTGACAATTCAGATGGGGCATATTCCCACCTATGCCGTAGTGGTGGATGATACCGGTAGCCCAAACATATTGGCAGCCAGGGCGCAGGTAAATCTCCGGGTATTCTTTGCAAAGGTACCAAAAAATTGTATCGATAAACAGGATGGAGCTGCGGCATCTTCCGTTGCTGTTCCTGTTTACCAAGCCACGGCCCTACCAGACGATGCGGTGGATGTGAATGGAAATAGAATCAGCGACCAGCCACCACCACCTGTACCCCTAGCATCAGAATCAGAAGCACTCGTGCAAGTAAGTAACGATTATTCGAAAGCTTGTCTGGTTACAAACACCGGACAACAACGACTGTGCCCATTTAGAACGCAGTAGCTGCTGCAGGACCTACTGCTTCAGCTTCAGGACCAGCTAGTGCACAGAGTTCCGGTGGTGGGGGACAAAGCAGCAACCAAGTAGGCAACCAATGATGGTTGACTGTACATACATCGAGTGCATATAATGGGAGACTCATTTAGGGCGGCTCTGGATCCAACTGTGATAAGTCGAATCCAGAACGACAGGATTTCAACTCTGGTGCACAGAATCCAGGAAATAACGGGCCCGTGAATTCTGGTGCTCAAACCGCGTGAGTGAAGGTTGTAACATCTTACTATAGAACACTCTAAGAAATTCCTTTGCAGACCAGTTGCTTCTGGGAATACGGCGGGTGGCTACCGCGGACGATTCTGAATGATTCTTTCGAAAAGACCAACACACATCACTTCTAGGCACAGGAGTCACGCTTTCACTTCTTTGTAGTTTCTCCATACTTATGAGGGAAGCCGTTCTAGTTAAAGTGGCCTTTCTACATGTACTTATAACACTGCGCATCTTTGAACGCTGATTCGAAAATTGCTTTTATTTCCTCCGAAACACACTCCGAAAGAAGTCATGAGTGTTTGACCAAATCTGCCATGCTACAGTGAAGATTCCTGCCAACTAACGCTTTTATTCCCTTTTGATCGCCTCACAAAAAGAGAGCTCAGAAGAGTTCAATCAGTCAGCTTCTGCCACGCGGGCCTTTATAAGCTTGCTGGGTAACAAACGCCAGAAAGTGAACCGTAGGCCCGTGGACTTTGGTGAACCAGGCTGGTATCACTACTATATATGTAGTTGTTTATTAGATAGTAACGGAGCAGCCGCTGACTGTCAACAGTGAGTACGCGGGACGTGCTGACGATAGTGGTAATAATCAAACTAACTCCAAAACTCAGCATTCAGGCCCTTTCATGCTACTGTTCTGAGCGTGGATAATCTAAATGCTCACTTCTGCTAAAAACGTATCATACAGCACGAAGGATTTCTACATTAAAGTGGACCTCGTACACTATTAAACACAGTGGAGGGGTAAGCGCCTTAAAGGCACTGTCCAAGTAATTTCACCTCCGAGATTTTGAACACTTTTGACTGATCTCGGCCTGCTAAATCCTAATCTGCTCCTTAAACTATCCAAAAATCGCAAAAACCCCTTTTTCAAGGGTCTCTTCGGAAGAGCGATGAACGAGACGTGCTCTGCTGCAGGTGTAGGAAGCTGCTGGATGGGCGGGATTCCACCGACTGAAGGCGGAATTTGAGTACCGCCCCTTTTTGTAGACTTGAGTAACGCTCCTTTTTGTGACTCGTTTGAAGCAATTTTCTCGCTTCAGGATCCACTTTTTTTGACGAGTCTTGAACTGTTGGGTTTGTAGGGAGGTGCGCTCTCGCCCTCTGCGTTAATCCCACCACCCCCTAGTGGACCTGAGGCGGTATTTAACAATCTCCCACTCGCTGTTCGGCATGGCCTGAACGGGCTCAGAGCCCGGTCTGTCGAGATCGGACATGCCGTGTTCGATATGGCCAAACTTGCCAGATCCTACCCTCAAATCAATGCAGTGTCCTAGGATACAAATAGTATGATTGTGCTGAGATTTCTAATAATTAATATGGTTCATTCCAGCCTTCCATTTCATACCAGTTATTGGAGTGTCTCAGTTGATTCGGTCGTACAAAATTATGAAACAAGCAAGTAGGCAACAGACTACCATGTCTGTTCCATGATTGTTTCATTTTGAGCCAAACACGAAATATCCAACAGGTTAAATTCATTGTTTTGTTATCAATTAGGGTAATCAAAACAGCACTTCTTTTTATGAGACACAGACGTGAAACCATTAAATCAATGTTCAAAATGGAAAATACCCCTGACCACTTTTTTCATTTGGAACAAGATGTGATGGCTTCACACGTTAAGAGAACTGAAGGAGATCATTCTGAAAGTTAAGGCGGTCAAGCGTGAGAATGGTTGGAGGTTCGATCTCCTTCGATGACATCACTTTGCGAAATTTAAAATCAAGTGAAAAATTGTCTACGTCGTGGATTTCGATTGGTTACCGCGTGGTTTCGATGTAAAGCTGCTGGTGCCTTATGTTGTGAGAACTTAGTTAGGATTCGGTTTCAATCAACTTACAAGGGAAGGATAATCGGTCGAAGTGGCCATTTGGAATGAACTGTATATTAGGAAACCGTCCTCGGTAAGGCAAACTCAAAACTACTTTTGCTAGGTGCCGAGCGGTTTTGTGGAGGGAGTTACAAGGCCATTTTCCTCCGGCGCAGCCGGCGCACCCAGTGATGGGCGAGGCGCTAGAACAACGCAGGAGTGTGGTAGTGCCGCAGTGGCAAGAGAGAGGACTACGAAGCAGATGGTCGAGGGTTCGAGTACTGTTGCTGCTATTTTGTTTTGCAGTTCTGTAAAAAGTCTATTGGGTGACAGTAAACGAAAAACACTCATTTGTAGGCAGTTGAAACAAGCTATTTACTGCAAAAAAGTCACTATTTCTACAATAATTGCTGCTGATTGCAATCGATTGCAATTTTGTAAGTGCGCGCGCTGCGAAAAAGCTTTTCTGCTTTGAACATTTTGTGGTTGTATTCCATACATGTTAATATATCATTTGAACCCATTGTTGTGACATCATAACCTCCACAGATTCACATATTGTAAAAGATTATGGCTTATTGTAGAAATAGTGACTTTTTTGCAGTAAATAGCTTGTTTCGACTGCCTAGAAATAGTATTTCTCGTTTGCTGTCACCCAATAGACTTTTTACAGAACTGCAAAACAAAATAGCAGCAACAGCACTCGAACCCTCGACCATCTGCTTCGTAGTCCGCTGCGTTGCCACTGCGCTACAGCCACACTGATGCGTTGTTCTAGCACGCGCTCATCACAGGTGTGCCGGCTGCGACGTAGACAAATGGCCTTGCAACTCCCCCCACAAAACCGCTCGACCTAGCGAAAGTAGTTCTGGGTTTGCCTTACCGAGGACGGTTTCCTAACATACAGCTCATTCCAAATGGCCACTTCGACCGATTATCCTTCCCTTGTTAGTACTATCCCTGGTATTTAGAACAAATTGGCCGTTTCCAGCACTCTTTAGGAAAAATGATGCTAATCCCTCTATCTTTCCTTACGATTGTTGACGTGATCGCTATATGTGCATATAAATGCAAAGAATGTGCTCGAGCTCGATGGCCAAAGCGAAAGAACAAAACAATAAAAAACAATGGGTTTTCATGTCTTTACCATATGCAAAGTTTACGCCAGCAAGCGTTTTGATATGCTCCTGCTCGCGCTGCTGGCGTGCTGCTCTCCACGTAAGTTCCCGAACAGGTGTGAGAGGATGTGCGAGAGATTAATAAATACCGCCCCTGGATCACGCATTCAAGGGGTCAGTGAACAGTAACGTTTGTCAACGACAAGCTAGTAGTTACAATATAACCCAGGCGATGAATCTACAAAGAAAAGTGTTGTAGACCTGGTAATAATTTACGAAAATGGCACAAAACTAGCGAGAAGCTGTACGAAAACAGCTGAAAGTACGTAACCAATTTGTATCAAGTATATTGACTACAAGGAAGGAACACAGCTTGTAGAACTTCGCATAGGTGTTTTTGTACAGCTTTTCGCTAATTATATACCACTTAAAGGCAGTGTCTCGGCGAAATCTCTCCCAGTTTTTACCTTTTCGGAGCCTTCCCGTAATGAGGAACTCATATATAGGCTTTTCAGCGTATGAAAAAGCGAAGATAAGCCTTTCTCGAAGCTTTCCAGGTTGGTGAAACGCCGGAGGTCTTCCGCACTCCGCTACCTCACTTCGGACTCCGCCCACTCATACGTATTTCCCACTGGATGCGGACCTGGAAAACTTCGAGAAAGGCTCATTTTTGCCATTTTCATACGCTGAAAAGCCCAGATACGTGTGTATATGGCAAGAAGGCTCCGAATAGGTAAAAAAAAACTGAGCAGCGAAGTTCTGCCGAGACGCTGACTTGGGGCTTGACGAGCCTAGATATTTTAACAATAATTTCCGCAGAATCATTACACAGAAAAGGAAAACAGCTTCGGTGTCAACGTTCAATGTTCTACAAAGTGATATAGGTGCCATATGGAAAGGCCATTTGGGCTTCCCTTGTTAGCTTCTTCACTGATCTAATTTGTATGCTCTTTTGTGGGTATCATTACGATTTGCGCTTGATAAAATTTGATGGCTGATGTTTTTTGGCATTAACGAGAAGAACTACGTACGAGAAATGACTCACAAACTTTTCCAACGGTATGTAGTAGTTACTTAAGAAAAGGGCGATATAATAATGTAAACGCTGTGACTCAATCTGCACAGATTGCGCAAACGTCTTTCATCCTTTAGGAGTACTGCAATCAGCAGGAGATAGCATTTTTTTAGGTTTGAAAAGAGAGTCCTTAACTCTGCAAAATATTACGAGTCACTTTCAAAAAAAGGAAAGAGCCCACCCTTACGCTTATGGAAATGAGCGAAGCTTTGGCGATCTTCATCAAAGAAAATTTTGGGCTACGATTCTAGGTAATCTTATATATAAAGCTGAATGTCTGTTTGTATGTATGTCTGTCTGTCTGTCTGTCTGTCTGTCTATCTGTCTGTATGTCTGTCTGTGTGTACGTATGTTCCGAATAGAAAATTCCATTTCTGAACCGATCGGGACCAAACTTGGCACACATACACTTCGGGCCCCGGCGGGTGTCATAGGCTACTTTTCGTATCGATCGATATCGATTTTATCGATTTTTTGCAAAATTTGAGCTACGGGGCTGGGAGTTGGCATAAGGGGGTAAGTGAGCATGGGGATTCCGAATACAATATTAGTTTTTAAAATCGTGCATTACTTTTATCGATTTTATCGATTTTTTTGCAAAGTTTGAGCTACGGGGCTGGGAGTTGGCACAGGGGGGTAATCGAGCATGCTGATCACCCCCGTGGGGATGATCAGCATGCTCGATTACACCCCCTGCCAAAATCCAGCCCCCTAGCTCAAATTTTGCAAAAAATCGATAAAATCGATAAAAGTAATGCACGGTTTCGAAAACTAATATTGTATTCGTAATCAGCATGCTCGATTACCCCCCTGTGCCAAATCCCAGCCCCCTAGCTCAAATTTTGCAAAAAATCTATAAAATCGGCATCAATCGATAACGAAAAGTGGACTGTGACACCCGCCGGGGCCCGAAGTGTATGTGTGCCAAGTTTGGTTCGGATCAGTTGAGAAATGGAATTTTCTATTCGGAACATACGGCGGAGCCGGGTAAGCCAGCTAGTTTATAATAAAGTAATAGAGTGCATAATTTTGACCATTTCACTGGAAGAATGCGTTTATTCACACCTTTATTTCTGGCCAGAAAAGGATGCAATGAAATTTTGGTTTTGATTGCGTTTGTTCGAAGCTTTGTAAATTTCTAACAAATGAGGCTAGAAGCACATTTCAAAACCAGAGCAAAGAGCATGAAGAGAGCTTCACGATATGTGCTAACAAGAAGTTTTTTCTAAAGGATTTGTTGGAAAAAAGTTGCCTTGAAAAGGGCTAGAAAAACGCGCAGTACTTTTGCACCAACTTAATATCACAAGGAGCCAGATGATTGAAATCAGTAGTACGTATAACTACTAACTTGGCATTGAAACTAGTAACTTGGCATTGTATAGACGTCCCATGAAGTCGGATTGGTCACTGCAAGAGGTGTGTCTGTTTCACAGTTTATAAAACCGTTTGTGGAAGAAGTGAGCTTTGGAAAAATCGTTTTGTAAGCCGTAAATTCATTTTCTGCCTGCAGGATATGTAACGCAGATGAAAAATTGAGTTTGAGAAGTTCGCATATACCCGCACACCAATCTTCATTGGTCACTTGTAAGTCCCACCAAACACTACACCACATGGCCACATTTTGAAGGTGGCCAAACGTTGTGGAGCTCAAAACTGCAAAATTTGGCGCGCATGGGCATACAAGCATGCGCCAAAATTTCAGGGGCTGTAACTTGCTCCACGACAACGCTTCGCTGGAATGCATATTTGCGACTAACTCTCCAAGTTCCAGTTCTGAGTATGTATCACATCATCAGACACTTCGACCTGGTTACCTTCCCTTCTTAAATAGAGGCTAAGTCAGACAGTTAGCGACCATCCACGGGCGACGCCACGTCCGTCTCGAGGGCGCGCCAATAAGGACCGACAAGCTCTCGAACAATACCCGCGGATGAAGATAAGCGCCCAACTATAGGGATATTCGATAAGCGCTCAGTTACGGGCGGATAAATCCGCAGCTTCGACTGATCCAGCGCAACCGTTAGAGATAGAAATGCTTTATCGAAAATTTGACAAACCGGAGAAGCTGATCACAAACAAAAGAAATGAAAGATTGAAAATGAGAAAACCAATGATCAGTTCACAATCGAACAAATCAACAACCTGAGGTCTGCAACCTGAGGTATGGTGCAACGTATGTCTCGCATCAACGCTCTACTATCTTATACACTGAAGAAAATAAACTAGACTGCTACAAAGACCTAAAATGACCTAATCTAGCCTAAACATAACCTAAATGTAAACAAACATGGCCTAGCGTTAGCTACAGCTCCACTACCCGTGGATGACCCAACAAGCGCCTGACTGATGCGCGATACGCACTAGCGAGTACCCCGATAGGCGCCGGTTGCCGCATCAGGTTGCCGCATAAAGGCAGTGTCCAGGCAAATCTGGGCACATGCGTTTTATGTCTGGAAACTGATGAGGAGGGGGGGGGTTCATCTAACTAGAGAACGATACTTGGCCGAAGTGGAGTTTCCACATGAGACATGTACAGTCTTACAGAGCATGGAATGCTGATTCAAAATCTGCTTTCGTTATCTGCAAAGCTCTTCTAGGAAGGAAGTTATGGAATTTTTTTTCAAGCAAAAATCTGAACGCGCGGCTTCGACAGAATCACTCAGAAGTGTAGACTGTGAGCTCAAATAGAGTATGATAACTGCTATGGCGCTCTATGCAATTAGTACCTTTGGCCTAATAAACTGCTAGTTTTTTTCTTTTAAGTTTCGAAAAGATTTCAATACCTGTTTTACCTTAGCCAAATCCTTGAATTTTTGCCTCAAAAAATTCCCATAGCTTCTTTTCCAAAACGCTTTGAGGATAGCGAAAGCAGATTTGGAATCAGCGTTTCAGGCTCTATAAAACAGTAAACATTCATATGGAAACGCCACTTCGACCAAGGATCCTTCCCTTGTAAGGCATTCCCGACAGGCTGCGCAAATGATCCATTCACGGTTGAAAAATCTATCCAGGGCCCGGCACGAGGTGGGCAAATGGGGTTTTCGAAAACGAACTCCCCTTTGATCCCAGAAACTACGATTGCCCTTTTGAGTCCAAAAATGATGCTTTGTGCTTGTGTAACGGGAACTCCGGCCACACTTCGCCTAAAAGCGCTCAAAAGCGCCAAAAACGCTCAAATTCTTCTAACTATTCCTCACCTTTATCAAGATAGCAAATAGGAAGAAGAATAAGCAAGAAAATGATGAAGGAATGAAGAAATATTGAAATAACGGAGTTATATTACTGAGAGATGCCGTTCCCGCGTATCGATTGACTAGAGCGCGCTTCCCCCTTAGAAAGCTGGGCTGCTGATGCAATTTTGGGCTCTAACAAAGACAAGAGGAGGAGTTTCAGAACCAAAATCTTACCATATAGTAAACTTTAGGTGTTCAACATATTTATGTGAAAGATTCAAAAAACTTATATGTGAATTGAAAGTTTTGCCTACCTCAGGTGGACATTAGATGGGCAAATGCCTACCTAATTTGGAAAATAGTGGGGCACGCTCTTCATCCACATATGTTCTTCACAATTTTTCACACGTTGTTCCTTAGTTCTACTGCGCATATATACACCAAGTCTCGCGCGATCTCTTTTCACTGCGCTGCAAACGAGCCATTTTTCCATTTTCTCGATAGTGGGAAATTCATAAAAAAAAGCTTGCCACAATCTTCAGTCATATGATTTTTTAATGAAACTGCCAAATTAAGCCCTACGGGCCCGTGTTCATGTACCTACCAAGTTTCATACCGTACGGTCATCTGTGCGCTGCAAACGAGCCGTTTGAATTCACATCTTCGTTTACCAGTTTCGCAAACTTTTGGAAAAAAATGCTTATTACACCTCCCATTCACATAATTGTTTCATATTTCACACTTTGTCTCTACTAGCCTCTCTTCGTGTCATTTGCCCGCCTCGTGCCGGATTCTGAATCTATCCTCAGTTCCATCTGCGCGCGTACTTAGGACGGGTCCCAGCGTGAACGCGGTATTAAAGTGAGCAACATCGTTTGCTGTACTATCGAAAATTCAGCGCATTATTTTGTTTTGAGGTTTACGCTAGAGTCAAAACAACCGAAGTACGATGAAACAGAGCCCGTGTTTTTTTTTACTACCACATCTGGTAGTAAAGAAGAGGAAATGGTGACTTTTAAGAATAGGGAGCAAGGGTATTCAGGCTGTTTTTGCTGAAACGAGAAGCACCAACCAAACCTCATCATAAGGAGAAGAGAAGAAAGGCAGCATCGTGGCTTAATGTGACGTACACAAGCAAGGGAATAACAATACCCATCTTATATATAAAGCTGAATGTCTGTATGTATGTATGTATGTATGTCTGTATGTCTGTGTGTACGTATGTTCCGAATAGAAAATTCCATTTCTGAACCGATCCGGACCAAACTTGGCACACATACGCTACGGGCCCCGGCGGGTGTCATAGGCTACTTTTCGTCATCGATCGATATCGATTTTATCGATTTTTATCGATTTTTTTGCAGTTCACCTACGGGGCTGGGAGTTGGCACAGGGGGGTAATCGAGCATGCTGATCATCCCCAAGGGGGGTGATCAGCATGCTCGATTACACCCCTGTGCCAAATTCCAGCCCCTAGCTCAAATTTTCAAAAAATCGATAAAATCGATAAAAGTAATGGACGATCTTGAAAACTAATATTGTATTCGTAATCTGCATGCTCGATTACCCCATGTGCAAACTCCCAGCCCCGCAGGTCAAACTTTACAAAAAAATCGATAAAATCGATAAAAGTAATGGACGATCCTGAAAACTAATATTGTGTTCGTAATCAGCATGCTCGATTACCCCCTGTGCAAAATCCCAGCCTCGCATGTCAAAATTTACAAAAAATCGATAAAATCAATAAAAGTAATCGATAATTCTGAAAACTAATATTGTATTCGGAATCCCCATGCTCACTTCCCCCCCCCCCCTGTGCCAGCCAACTCCTAGCCCTGTAGGTGAACTCTGCAAAAAAATCGATAAAAATCGGTAAAATCGACATCGATCGATAACGAAAAGTGGACTGTGACGCCCGCCGGGGCCCGAAGTGTATGTGTGCCAAGTTTGGTCCGGATACGGCGGAGTCGGGTAAGCCAGCTAGTAGGTTATATTCTTTCAACGTTGTATTCACTAACCACGCTGCAGATCTTGTCTTAAATTTTGGATTAATAAATCATGCCAATGATCATCCTCAATTCTTGTTGATCACTTATGCAACCGCTAAGGGTTCAAGTATGATCAAGCTACGAACGAATGGAGAATGGTAGAATGTGTCAGATAAAGCATTCGCTGGACGGCTTTTTGCACACTCTTGGCTTCTCCTAATAAAACTACAGCTTCTCAAAGTTGTCCCACAGACAGAGAATAGAGGGTAATGACCGCTGATTAGAGTAGACTGTTTGGCTCGGACAATGAGTGTTGATATCAAACAATGATCTTTTTTTCTTCTGCATCACTGAACTTTTGCTTTTAGCGATCAAATTCAATAGTTACAGAAATGCATTTGAGACAAACCGTACAGATTCCATCCTTATCATCGGACAGAAATCGCTAGAAATCGTTCGAAGGTTAATTGGAACATTTTGACGACATTGAGGGTCATACTCTCTGCGAAAAACCGAAATGATGCCTCCGTGGGTATTTATTTAAGTAAACGGGCGGGCCTAGACGTTACACAGTATCATCGTCATCGCTATCCCTATTCAAAACTTACAAATTTTTTGATACTTTTATTGTCTTTTTCATAGTGTCACGTTTCCTTATAGGAATGCATCTTGCACTGATCCTCCTCGGAGTAGGATGTGCTTTTGCTCAGTATGACACTCAGGATTCGGGTTATGGTAACAATAATCCCTCAGCTGTACAAATCGTGGCTAACAATTCTCCACGAATTCAGCCAGTAGACTACACCAGTAACAACGCAGGGCAAACTGGCGGACAGGTTTGCTGGGAGTAGGAAATTGACAAAGTTTATTGCTTGCTTTTAGGGAGCAGGAGGAAGAGGATCAGGAACGGGAACAGGAGGAGGAGGAGGAGGAGGAACAGTAAATACAAACATAATTCCTACTATACCTACCGTACCCACAGATTCTACAACTATCACAACTCCAAGGGGCCCCACGGGTACCACTCCCCCAGCTCCAATGTCTCCAAGGGGTCCTACGGTTACACTTCCAACAGTTCCAACAGGTCCTACAGTTACGCTTCCCACAGTCCCGACAGGTCCGACAGTCACACTTCCAACAGTCCCTACAGGCCCTACAGTGACACTTCCAACAGTCCCTACAGGCCCTACAGTGACACTTCCAACAGTCCCTACAGGCCCTACAGTGACCCTTCCAACAGTCCCTACAGGCCCTACAGTGACACTTCCAACAGTCCCTACAGGCCCTACAGTGACACTTCCCACAGTCCGTCCGACGGTTACACTTCCAACAGTCCCTACAGGTCCTACAGTGACACTCCCCACAGTTCCTACAGGCCCTACAGTGACCCTTCCAACAGTCCCTACAGGCCCTACAGTGACCCTTCCAACAGTCCCTACAGGCCCTACAGTGACCCTTCCAACAGTCCCTACAGGCCCTACAGTGACCCTTCCAACAGTCCCTACAGGCCCTACAGTGACCCTTCCAACAGTTCCTACAGGCCCTACAGTGACACTCCCCACAGTTCCTACAGGCCCTACAGTTACACTCCCCACAGTCCGTCCGACGGTTACACTTCCAACAGTCCCTACAGGTCCTACAGTGACACTCCCAACAGTTCGAGCAGGTCTTGCGGGTACAACCCCGTCAGCTGCAACATACCCTACGGGCCCTACGGTTACACTCCCCACAGTCCCTACAGAACGGACAGCTCCGACAGTCCCTGCAGCTCCCACAGCTACAACCCCCTCATTTCCTCCATCATCTCCTACAAGTCCCCCAGCTTCTACACCTTCCGCGGCTCCTGAATACAATCCATTCAGCGCTCCAGTGCAAGCACAGTCAAGCCCTCAGGTAACACTTTTTTATAAACCATGTTTTTTATTCTACTGACCCTTTTCAGGCGGGAGGAGGGGGAGCTAATACAGCTCCAGGGCGCGACACAGACGAATTCGGTGTCGTGCTCACTCCAGTTGGTGGAGGAAGTGGAAGTGGAGCAGATGGTACGGGAAGTGCGCAATCTGGAGCAGGTGGCTCTGCGTCTTCCAACACTCAGGTACTTCAGAATTATGTTTACTATGGTTGAAAGAATATTCTAAATTGTTATAGGGTAACGATATCGGAGGAGGTGATGCGGAAGATACCGGAATGCAGAACGGCGGTTATGGGCGATTTAGCCGCTATATGATGCAGGTCTTGTAGTTTGCTTTGATTTATAATATTATTGAAGATTTATGTGTATCAATGCGTTCTCTGCTTGTAATAAAATTTTGACTTAGCTTACTGTAAAAAATAAAAAGCATGTACAGGCAGTAGGCCGATATATTTAAACTTGGCATCTCTTATCAAAGTAATAAACCACCAACATCAATTTCTTTTAACCCTTCGAACATGATCTGCTTTCCTGTTCATATCGCTTGAAGTACATCGCCTTATCAGGCAAATGTCGAAAATGCTCTTCAGATCAGTTCGAGAGCGTTTCAGAAGGATTTTTCGAGCTAGAGGTAAAAAATTTTGGTATGATATAAAGTACATTTGTTTTTTCTTTGAAGCGAAACTGTACAGAGAAATTATTGAGTTTCATTCCTTCAGGAATACGGCAAATAGGTAAACTGACCTCTCCTTCATATGTTTGCATCTCGGAATCATAAAGGAACAGCTTTTTCCTTCCAACTTTTGCATAACCAAGGAGACGGCTAATATTCTTCTCCCTAGAAAGGCCAATGATGATTTACAAATCTTCTTTTTTAACAAAAAATAGCAATTGTGTATGGTAATACGATTGGTACAACTTGGTTTCCAAAACTTAATTTCTAGCAAAATCGTAGAACTTTATTCTGGATGTACCCCACACCAAAAGTGGATAGGGCGCGAAAAGAGACTAAAAGGCTGGAAGAAAGGTTAAAGGTCACTACGATTTTGAGATTGGAGTAGGTAGATGGACCGAGGTCAGACAACATCGCAGCTATTCAAGCAACAAACTCACTCATCGAATTCCCAGCTAAGGTACAGGGTATGATCGGATGTTACCAGTTTCTCGCATGATGTCAACGGTGCTCGAACTTGCATGCATTGGGCTGAGAGTTTCGCCAAATCGTCAATCGCTTTGTAGACTACTGGTGATCTGAAATTCTAACTCAAGTTTGCACGTTTGACTTCATGTCATGTCTTTGTATATTCTACGAAGACAAAGGCTTCATTAATTTTTGATTTTGTCAAGTCACGCCAACACTTATCAGTCATCATGTAAGTCCAAAAAAGGAAGGAACCAAGATTGTCTTGAGGATGAAAGACTATTAGCTACATTAAAATTACTAGGAGTAACTTGCGACTACAGTCAACAGTTGTTTATTGGTAGAGAATTCTGATTTGTGTACTGTGACTCAAATATAATATGATGTGCGATAAGAAACAAGTTCTTTGTCCAAGCACCAAAAGCTAACTACATATATCATGACAAAAGTCCATAGATAATAAATGGTGACTTTGCTGTTCCCAATCACTAATGTAATTTAAAAGAAATTTGACCTTTTTGTGTGGATTTGCATCGCTAACGTGACATTTCTACTGAAGTGCGAAACTAGAATTCAGAGCAGAGGTTATGTTCGAAAAATCTGATGTGAGTTGGGCCTGTGATTTGGCTTTAGACCTGGGATGCCTTGGTGCTTATATACATGGTGTCCCAAAAGAGTGCACACTGCTCTCTTGCTTTCATGTCTTTCGCCGTGCTTGAGGTACGATTCTGTAGAGCAATGTTCAACTTAGGTTTACAGTATAGAGCAAATCACCGGTCTTCCCTCATTACTGTAGGATTACGGTAAGAATTTTCGTCATGTGGCATCACTATGGAATAGGCCTTTTGGTGAAAAAAAATTCAAAAAAATCTGAAATTTGTGTATCAAGGTTATTAGGCGTGCTAATTCCACTGCACAACTTTTTACCAGTTTGAGCTTCTACAATGATTTAATCGCATTTCTGACGAACATTGGAACTACAGTTGTTACCCTAAACCTGAAATAACTTATGAAAGAAGCATTACAGTGAAGTGCAAACTTCATATTTGAAATTAACGACTTCGAACAACCCAGTACAGGAGTTTCTGGCTTGTTTGGTTTTATTTTAAGGCAAAATATTGCTTTAATAGCCTGAAATCCTTCTCGAAATTCCTACCGTAATCCTACGGTAATGAAGAATGATTGATGATCCGGCCAAACTGCAAATCTAAGTTGAACCTCGCTCTACAGAATGGTACCTTAAGCTGGCGAAAGACTTGAAAGCAAGAGAGTTATCAACGATCAAACAGTGTACACATCTTTTTGGAACACCCTGTATATGATTACTGTGGAGGATTATGCTGCTAGCTGAAAGTGCTCCAGAATCTACATATTTGACACTTCATTAGCTCATTTGGACCGTCAGAAAAAACTCGAACCAGAAAAAGGAGCACGTTGCATTGTTGCAACAAAATGTTATGGAAAGGCTTTCTCCATTTCCATTATGTTGTATTTCAAAACAAGAAATTAGTGCTTACAACGAATTTGTTTGCTGAATAAGCTAAAACCATAGTGCGCCATTATCGTACAAACATTCAGTAACCACTTACTGTAATTGCTTAATTCGCATAGGATCCAGGCGAACTAGCGCTGGACCGAGTATTGGACGCAGGTCAGCCTCAACCTCCATGCTGCCAGTACCGAGACGCAATGAGCGCTGTCAGCATCCATGCATTGCTGACCAGAAAGAGCCCACTCTGCATGCATGACGAGCCTCAGCTGCGTCTCCAGCAGTCTCGTAGTCGTTGACGGAAATTTCCTCATTTGCACATCCGACACGCGCAAACTGCCTCAGCTGTCGCTTACGGTACTTCAACGGCGGCGGACCTACTCAACTATGCATTGCCCTTAAAAGATGATCATGCATGGAAACGATGTGAAAGAGCGCGGAAACGCTTGTGAAGCACTTCCTGCAGGAAACAGGGGAGGTGCAGAAACTCAACCCTTTATTAAAATTCTGCCCATGGACATCAGATCTTGAGGAAAGTTCTGCGATCGGCAGATTGCTGATTGTCGCCTTGATTCAGAGTGGAGCAGCTTTCACAATGCTCCGAAAACCGAATACCAAGAGGTGGGAATGGAAGCGGTATGATTTTTAGAACAAAACAACAACTTAAACGTTTTTTCATCCTTTTTCATCGAAGTGGTTTGTACCGCCGAGAAAAGTCAATGTACCTACTAGGCTAATAAAGGGTAGGGTTGTATGGCAACCATAGCTGCTGAAGTGCTATCGATGGTAGTGCTTTGTGGGGTTGTGAAAGTAGCAACGACTGCAACTGGGCGGTGGTGCTGTAGCGGTAACTAGGGAAACACCGTACTGTCTTGGCAATCAGGACTACTTGTTTGTATGAGTGGTTCTACAGTGGCAACTGTGTGGTTGCATGGTAGTGGTTGTGGCAACTGCAACTGATGCTAGTGGTGTTGTAGAAAATCAGCGCAGGATTGTACTTTTGTGACAATTGTGGCTACTAGGCCTAACGTGGCTATTGTTGTAGTGGCAACTACAGCCACAGAGTTAGTGTTGATGGCAATGTTGTAATAGTTGCGGCAACTGCGACTGGTGTGTATTATAATGTAGGGCTCTAAGCAACAACTTTTACAGAAATAATGTGTAATTGTGGCAGTTATAGCTACTGTATGCTGTATTTTGTATGGATGCTGGTATTTCAGCGGCAATTAGTTATAGGCAGCGTCCGGGCAAAATTCCGCCTCTCATGTTTATGCCATTCTGGGGCCTTTCCGTGGCCCTGATTACAGTTGTAAAGTCCAAATCGTTCAAAACACCCTCTCTTCAAGGAGCGGACGAGTTTCGAATTGCTCGTCCTTATCGTCATGCCAGGGGGAGGAGCTGCAAATGCACGGATGCAGGTTGCATTACAGTGTGCAATGCAACTGCAATGCAACTGCAATGCAACCGCACACCTGCGTAAGCACTCTTCATCAAGGTTGGTTTGTGATACGAAGGGGCGGCTTGTGATACGTATCACAGGCCCGTATCTCCTTTTAGGGGGCACGTCAAAGGATCGGACCAACGCAGATCGGATACTCATGGGCCCCTCTTTACAACTATGTGCTAATCTGGGTGGATGGATCTTGCCTGGACGCTGCCTTTAATTAATGGTGCGGTAACGCGTGCTGTGGTGCAGTTGTAGCTACTGAGACTGGTAGTGCTGCAGTGGCGGATATAGCTGCAGACCAGTGGCCTACCCAGGATTTCCTTTGGGGGGGGGGGGGAAAGAAAAATTTTCTGGTGAAGGTCCAAAAAAGCTTAAAAAACACCCCGCAAATTTTTTTGGTATGCTTCCTGAAATTTTTGCGAGCTCATAACCCCGAAATTCCAAAAAAAGGAGCATAGGTGCTTCTCCCAAAAAATTTTTCATGAGACTAAAATGAATTTTTGAATTTTTAATAATCATACTAATCATTTACAAGTATAAACAAGTCGCTTGCCCTTTTTTTTCCTCGGTACGCCACTGCTGCAGACTGATGATAATAGCGCAGTGGAGTTGCAACAGCCACAGCAACTTTGATTGGCATAAATGGTGGTGTTGATGGCGAACGGTGAAGCGTTACTTTGGTACCCAGCATCTCAGACAAGAGCTTATGGTGATGTTATAAAAAGCAGTTAAAGCTGATAAGTAGATGTTGAAGGTTTTGCTGTGCTTGTGTGGCACTTACCGCCACTGGTGCGAGTGTTCTGAGGAATTCACAAATCGCTGCTGGATGAAATAGTGAGCGCAGCAGCAATTGTAGCGAGTCGACTAGTGTGAATGATATTGTTGTATGCTGTGCCAATCTTGCTATGCCAGTACGATTGGTGAAACTTTTTAATAGTGCCGTTTTACGTTTCGACTTATCGCCGTCTTCAAAAGCCTAGAGTGGTAAGAGGACTTAGACCTTATGCTTATTTCACCAAAACCCTTCTCACCTTCTGGCTAGTCGCGTTCCCCCGTCCGATTTCACAAGCGAAGTTCGCATAAAGACAAAGACGAACCAACCTTAGCGTCGCTTTACCAATGGTGATCTGGTGGTACAGTGCAACCCGTTGACGTGTTAGTAGTGCCAATGAGCACATTCGGCCTAAGGCATACCTCACGCGATTCGGCCGAATCGCCACTTTCACGAGACTTGGCAAATTGCCAGATTTCTACAAATTTAACGTGCGCGCTTCTCGGATGCATATTTGGGTAGCTTGTGCAAGTTGTTGCAAATGGAGCAAGTTCTGACCAAAGACAGCGCATTAACGACGAATTACGAAGTGTCGCTCTTGTGCCAAATCGCGCAGCGAGAATCGCGCGAGGTATGCCTTAAGCCTTAGGCAGCTTTATATTACGCGAGTAGCACTACAGTATAGCTCGCATAACGTTATGAAGAGCACCAAGTCATTGGTAAACGTTAAGCACTCCTTTCTATTGTTCATAGTCGGGTTTCTCCTAGAAACCTGATGGCGAATTGATAACACTTTGATGTTGCGACTTCTTGGAATAGTGTGGATGGTAAAATTGTAAAGGCAAAAGCATTATTTAAGGTTGATGGTAATGGTCTTTGGAACTGTGGCAGTCGGAGCAACTGCGACATTTGTAGATGTTGGTGTTTCAATGCACTTGAGGAACATTGCGCTATCATGAGGTGACGCTGTGCCATATACACTGTCACTAACCAGTGGGCAGTTACGATTGCCACTACAGCACCACCATTCAGCAGCAGCTGCAACTGCCACAACCCTAAGACACTCCATTACAACAACTCAACAACCACAACTGCCACTACAACGCTACTGTCCATACTCATCACAGTAGATGCACCTGACGCCGCAGTTCCCCTACAGCCCTATACCACCAACCACACCAATCGGATTTGCTGTAGCTGCCGCAACTCCGGCATCACCATCAGCAAAACCCTACGATGGCCACTACAGCCATAATTCCAACAGTTCCAGTAGCTAGAACTGCCATGCATTCCACTATAGCTAGCTATGCGCAATGCCTCATCAACACCGAGTCAGCAACCTATGAAAGGGGCACTATAACTCAAACATCCATAAAGCACACTAGTTGGCCGTCAATTGCAGCTACTGCTACTAGTATGAACAGCGTTGTAGTGGCAGTTCTAGCTGAAAAGTTGTTATAATGGAATGCCTTGGAGTTGTGGCAGTTGCAACTGCTGCAGAATGGTGGTGCTGTAGTGGCAGTCGCAATGCACACTGTTGATGATAGTGTTTATGTAGTTGTGTCAGCTGCAGCAACAGCAACTTGTCTGGTGTGGATGATGTGGGCAGTTAGCCCAGCTTGCACCGTTGTCCGTGGTAGCAACTACACTAATGTACAGTCGTGTAGATTTTCCACTCAGTATGGTGTGCTTGGTGCAGTAGGTTGCTGTAGGTGAAATATTCAAAATTTGCGCGTAAACAATCAGCGACGCCAGAATGCCGGCATCTGTGTGCACAGTTGAGAGGCGTCACAGGCGTAGCCATTTCTTCACGCGCAAATTCTACCGCATCTCACCTACAGTGCAAGCGCACTATATTAGAAAAGCAGTTTTTTTAGCCTTGCATTATTCCCATACGGGGTCTGCCACTCTTATTAGTCTCCTCCATGTTTCACGGTCTAATGTTTGACGTTCATCTATTCCAAGCTCTCTCAGGTCTGACTTGACTTTGTCTGTCCATCGCAACTTAGGTCTTCCTCTTGGTCGTCTGCCGGGGACCTCTGCTGACATCGCTAGTCTGGTGATGTGTTCTTCCTCACGCCTTCTGACATGGCCATACCATCTAAGCCTCCTTTCTTGCACTTTCTTGGTTATTGGGGCCACTTTCATCGTTGTGCGAACGGTATCATTAGTGACGTGGTCGAGCAGCGTGACACCCATCGTCCATCGGAGCATGCGTGTTTCCATCACTCCAAGCCTTCGTTCATCCTTACGTGTGCACGGCCAACACTCACTTCCATACAGCGCAGTCGAGCGGACGACAGTGCGGTACATCTGGGATTTCAGCTTGAGCGGCATCCTTTTATCGCATAGTACTCCTGTGAGACTTCTCCATTTCAGCCATGCTGCGTTTATACGACTGGTTATTTCGTCTTCGAGCGTGCCGTCTGTCGCGATGCAACTTCCTAGGTATTTGAAGGACGTGGTCTTCTTGATCTGCGTGCCTGCAATCTGGATCGTCTCTGGCGTTTGAAGTCCCAGCTCCATGTATTCTGTCTTGGCGGTGTTGATCTTCAGACCGTGTAGTTTGAGCTGTTCTTTCCACATTGCTACGTCCGTCTTTAATTCCTTCCTGCTTCTTGCCATCAGGAGTACATCATCTGCGTACATGACGGTCCAAGGAGGTGGATTCACGAAGCTTCTGACTGTCCATTACTGTGATGAAGAGTAGAGGGGAGAGTACGGATCCTTGATGTGCACCGACATCTATGTGGTAGTCTTCTGTACGTCCTGCTGCTGTTCTTGCGTAGCTGGTGGCATCCTTGTATACCATTCTGATCCACCGAACATATTCTTCTGGAACCTCGTGCTTCCGCAGTGCCCACCATATTACGTAGTGCGGTACTCTGTCGAGTGCCTTCTCAAGATCCAGGAATGCCGCGTGGAGCTCACATTGCTTTTCTCGGCTCCTCTCCATCATCATTCTGACGGTGTGAATGGCATCTGTCGTACTGCATCCTTTTACGAATCCG